CACATAGCGCCCTCTGTCTTCTGTCGAACTTGGCATGCTCTCCGCGTTCTTCAACTCGCTGTGCTACACGATCCCTTCCCTCTTTCTCTCCCCCTCCTTGGACTCTGTCTCTGCTGGGACCCGCAAATGTTTGTCTAAACTTGTACGTGCATCACCGTCCCGCAGTGGCATCGACGGACATCCTAACAAAGTTACATACCTACAGAAGGGCGTACGTAGCGAGTCCACCAGCCTCCGACTACAAGACGATGCCGGACTCGGGCTTGCCTCCAGCGTGTGCGGGCGTTTTGGTACAGGGTGCGATGTTGGCACGAGCCGTGCGCGGGCAATCCTTCTGGTTATTCGACGTAGGTCGCCTATCCGCTATCGAAGATGTTCGCGATTGCTCATTCGTCGACGCAGCGCCTCGTGTGCCCCACATGAGACCCTCTTATTGACGAGGTAGAAATGCTGCTGGTGTCTACATCGCGGGCGACGACGGAGGACCTCTATCGCTACGATCCATTGGTGGGCGCCCATCTTGCAGAGAGATTTCTTTGTACCACTTCCGCTCCCACAACAGCCTGCTCCCGCAGGCGAAGTGCGCTTACTCCCACATCTTAATATCTTATCATCGCTGCTAAATCAGAGTCGACAGAATCGGGATCCGGCCATACCCGCTATTGACGCGGCCTCATTCATGTCGACAGGAACGACGGAGTGTCTGTCCGTGTTGTTGTACAGACACAACAGGCCGTGGATGCCATGGCGCGTTGGCATCTGCAATGCTTGGCGCTCATCGAAAAGCATTCCAACAGCCCGTTCGACCCCACCGTGGTTCTATTACCGTTCTGTGTCCATGTCGCTCCCGCGTTCGCCTCGGTGACACACCACTTTATGCCCCCTTTGTCTTCCGATCCCCTATACGAACGGTTATATCCCGTATTGTGTATCTCGCCATACACGTGAGACTTCTAGCGTACATTATGCTGTCTGATGGTCGGACCGACGAATGGTTTATCCACGTAAGTTACTTAAGCCGCAAGTGGTGCGAAGTCGGGCAATGCAACTCCTTTCCAGATCCAGATCCTTGTACGAAAGCGTATGCGAGAAACGAGCGTAAGCTTTCGGGAGGCCAAGGGAAAGCTACATAAAGAGGCTAGGAAGTCGCCGCGAGAGAAGCCGCGTGAGAGCGAAGCTGTCCAAGATCTAGATAAGGTTAGGGTTGCTAACACGAGGCTAGCAAACGAGGAAGGAAAAGATTGACGCGGCTTCGAGCCTCTTTCTGTCCTGCCGCCGAGCCTATAGGCATCGTTGCGCTAGGTTTCGACCCACCCACCTCCCTTTTCTGTTTGGAAAACATACTCACTAGACGCTACGTGTGGTGGTTGCTCAAACAGCCCGCCCGGAAAGGCTTAGGTTGCTTGGCTTCATCTCGCGATAGCTGTCCGAGTCCGCGGGGCAAACGCGCGCGCGCAGCGTCCCAGGAAGGGGAACGCGTGTCGTGCGCGTAAAGAGAGCCAGGTCAGCTGGGCCCCGAAGTTCGGCCCCGCGGGCAGTAACCTCACCACAAACTAACAGTTAGCATTGCTCTACGGATGTCGCAGAGATGCTCTCTCACAGTTCGCCTGTACGCGAAATTGAAGGTATAGTTATTGAGCTACTCTACGAGTAGCTATAGCGCGCCGAAGGCGCGCGACGCGCTTTCAGCGCGGATCAGATCGCAGATCAGAGAGAGGCACGAAGCGCCTCTTCTTCTCCCTCAAGGGCTTTCCCGACCAAGCGGGAGAGTCCTGCTGCAGCCTTCTCCCTCGGTCACCGGATTATCATGAAGCCACGTTCTTTCAATGTGCGACTTAGAGAACATCCTGACCTCTGCGCATTCGATACGATGCGCGTCTTTCATAATCTGATGCGACACCGCCTCATTGGCGTCCCCCTAGCTCGTAAAGGGTACCCCACGCAGTGCCACCGCCCTCAGCCCGTTCACCCAAGGCATGACTGTGCTAGTCACTAGTACGAGCTTACTATTCATCCTCTCTTCCGACGCACAGCGAACGCGATAACGCCATTATCGCACATGACACCTCCGCCCAGGCCATTCATCGCAGCGGCAGAATGATCGACATCCTGCCCGCGCTCGTGTCGCAAGCAGCGCTTGCCACTATAGCATGAAAGTTCATGCGCTCTTCATTTCACTGTTTGCTGGATTCGCCATCAATCCATCGTAGTGGCCGGCTCTATCATTGGGACATGTGAGTCTCTCGCACCATCGTAAGCTATGAGCACGCCGACTGAAGGATGATGACAAAGCTAACCAATCCGAATATGCATGTATTGACTTCTGGCTGAAGGCGCAATATCTCTATACCGACGGTAAGGGAAACTTGCCCAGAACGGACGTCTTCAGAAATTCAATGAATGCTTCATCGTCACCCTTCTGCCCTAATATCTTCTGGCGCTCTCTGATGAGCTCACGTTTTGACAGTCCGCCGCTTGGATGCCTGAACCTAACGTATTCGGGGTGCGCTTCCTCCCTGCAATACCGTCAATTGTCTTGAATTGAGTGCATCATCTAATGCCATATACGTACAGGTGGTTGAGAAGCTGTTGTCGCTTGAACAAGTCGCCCGCCCTCTTGCACTTCTCGAAGGCAGTGATAGGGCACGTGAGTGTTTTTTCTGGATCGTCGGCCATTGCAGCGACACGAGCTTTCTTCTGCCGTTTGTGCCGACGATCTGTGGGCGACATATACTCGTAATGTTCGCGTGACCGTTTGGGCGGGACAGATGAGTGCGGCGTTTGGTTGAAGGTTAAAGATGGCGGTGGAAGCGGGGCTACGGAGAATGAGCGATGATTGAAACCAAATAGTGAACTGCCCGTACTCACTGGATGATGAAGATGGAGGACCTATTGAAAGACCATCAAACCCCACGACATCGTCCATTCCTAGGTGGACACCGGGCTCTTCAGGTGCGGGTGCGGGCTCGTCGACAGGTACATCGGGCTCTTCAGGTGTGGGTGCGGGCTCGTCGACAGGTACATCGGGCTCTTCAGGTGTGGGTGCGGACTCGTTGACAGGTACATCAGGCTCTTCAGGTGTGGGTGCGGACTTGTTGACAGGTACTGTGGGTGCGGACTTGTTGGCAGGTACATCGTCACCTGTTCCACTTTCAGGGATTAGCGATAGGTATAAGGAAGCCTGCTTACGCGTGTATGTCCTGACAGGGACTTGCAGGTAGCGTGGGGCCGCAGAATAATGAGACCTCCAAGGATCCGAGAAGAAATCGGAGCGGGCGCGTTTGTATTCATCCGTTTCTGTGCGAATAAGAGTCCACCAGCACATAGTCGCCAACTGTAGTACGTCCTCAGCCTCGGTGTCATCAGTCTTGAGTCGATGTTCGCGGAGCTCATCGCCGATCTTGCTCGAATGCATCACGTTGGCGGGCGTTACGAAGTCAACTGCGATCTTGATACACGACGAATGATTTGTTACCTCGTGGTATATCAGTCATGTGCATTGCAATAGGCGTCAGGAAACATCATTACCTGATGGCCAACTCCTGCCGGGATGAAAACTGCTTGACCTGGCTTTTGGATGAGAGTCCACACAAGGATCTTATGATCCCGGAGGCGCTGGACGTCATCTGCATCGAGGACGATCTGCTGTGAATGTATTGGATGACCTGAAAATTGACCCTCCTTCCACTCCCCCAACAATCTTCCAGCTTCTGCCATGTCGTCACGACTGATCATCGTCCATAACGCACCGTCTTCCGTGTCACTCGGTCTCCGCCGTGAGGAGAACATCAGGTTGGTGGCGTCAGTCATGTCACAGTGTAAACGTGTAGTAGTGCCAGCCGCTGCGGCATGAGCAAGATATGCCTTCGGCCCTGGCATCTAGTAAGCTAAGTACAGCGACCAAGGTGAATAACGACTCGCCTGTGTCAGGCGGGCACGATCCCGCCGGCATATTTGCTTCCAGGTTCAAAGCCCCAGATTTCGACGTCAGAGTTGGCCCGACAAGAACTTCTTCGAAGAGCTTGAACATCTCCGGAAATGCCGTCTTAAAATCTTCAGTTGGCGGCCAGTCCTTAACACGACCTTCAGACCCAATGTCGAGTAACGAGCAAAGAACGGCGGGTCTACCTTCAGCTTTTCGGAAGCGACAGTTGCAGAAGGGTCGGCAAATTCTTCCATAAAAGCCGCCAGCGGTAGAGTTCTGTGTTCATCAGTGACAGTATTGACTACTGTCACTACTTCTTTGCCATGCCGGCGTATGAAGTACTCAGGTGTGAGGTTATTGTCTCCTGGATCTATTCCGGAAACCACGAGAGGGACTCCGGTAGCAAGTGCATTATACAAAGTTGAATACGAGGGTAGCCCGGCGCCATCTGAAAGTTCGACTTGGATAACTTCCGCGTCGGGTGGACATGAGAGAATCCGGCTGTAGAGGTAATCAATGTCAAATATAGGCCGCAGATGTAGCTCACGTACGGCGATGGGGTGTTCCTCATGTCTGCTTGCGCCTTCTCCATTTGTCCCGGATGAAAACACTCTATCAAGGCGAAGTCGTGCCCGAGCTCACGCTCATCTTCCGGGCGAGCGACACACATGTGATCGACCTGTATACTGTTCAGAGACGAACTTCGTACATATTCGCACACGCACCCTGCGTTGTGACACGCACCGACCACAAACTTCCATGCCACAACGCCTACAGAGTTGGACGCCGCAGAGACAAGACATATGGCAGCGATCTACCGATGCGTCAGCGCCCACTCAAGCAACTGGAACTCATCAAACGCACCACAGATCAGGCGCTCCCCGTTTAACTCTGGTATCCTCATAACCTTAGAAACGCAAGTTTCTCGTAGAGAAGCGTGGAGGTCCATTTCCCTGGGCAGAATCTGTGCGCACGCTATCTACGCGACTGAGTACAGCAGGAATCAACGCACGTTGACGACTCACCCGCAGCTGCTCGACAATGGCATCTGTCAACGTCGTAGGGGTAGACTCAAAGTCTGGCACGACACGTCCGCAGTGCTCGTGAGGCAGTACTTCGAGTAGTACAGGTTCAGGATCGACGGAGACGACGAAACGTCGTTGCTGGACAATCGGGCCATTCTGTCCTACCCGTTCTATCTTCGTATGTCAACACATGTACTATGTCAGGTTCAGTACTGAGGTGAGACTCAACTGAAGAACAAACATTCCAAAAGATTCCCCCTCATCTTCCTCGTCTTCGTCGACTTCGACTTCGACTTCGCCTTCGCCGTCGACAACGACTTAGCGCATAACATGCACGGGCGTACTTGTTTCACAACAGTGGCCATAGCGTCGCTCAGGTGACGCTGATTCTCCTTGAGAAATAGCGTGCATTTCTCCGTTTGAAAGATAGTGACGGTCTTCATCAAGGCAGTAGGAGAGGATAGCAGCTCGGCCTGAGTTCAACTTCGCGTGACAGGTTCTCGGATCACTTCCCACGCAGAGGAAGTGCCACATCCAGGAACAAAGAAACTGGCATAGACATACACATTGTGCACTGTGATACATGGATTGATAGTCGGCGAGAGACAGACGGTATGGGCCCCCACATACGTCATCGAGGTTAGGGTTGGCGACGCCATTGCGGAAAGCTCCATCATCGCGGCGTCCAGTCGGCCTCGAGTTCCTAGCCAGCCAGTTATGGACCTGGGTCATGAATATTTGTGGCCTGGCCAGCGTTCGTCATGACAGCCAGCGCAGAGGAGCCCGACAATATTCGTGAGGGCTTATGGTTCTTCATCGCCCATCCCCTTCTCGAGGTACTCGCGTATAAATTCGAATATATATAATCATACTATATGAAAATCAAGGTACATGTGTAGACGCGTAGAACGTGATGATACAGAGTCCGACACGGAGTCTAAGTAGGCAACAGAGAGATTTGCTACAAGCAAAATCAGTATGATGCACAGTATCCGTAAGTCACTCGACTTACCATTGAGAATGAGCGAGAGGCGGGTAGCGAGGAACAGCAAGACTACGAAAGGGTCAGTAGACGAGTGATAGCCATCGAATAACATAGATCTCACACGAGCTATAGGAGACAATACAGAACGAATATAGTGCTTGCATTGGTCTGGAGTACTATAGCATAGTTGCAGCCCAACCTCGCATGTGTTGACAGCTCGAGGGCGATTGACCCTAACTCTGGGTTGCAACGAGTTCATTCATCATCAGAGGTGTGACGACGAACAAGGCAGAATTGGTACGCACTTGCCTCGCCCCTCCCCTTCTTTCTGTGCTTCGTAGGCTGCGATTAGGAGTCCTTCTCGACTTCTGGGAACGCCAATGAGTGACGAAAGTGTCGCTTATTGGCTAGTTCTGCTTACCTGATTTGCGAGCGCCGCGCGCGTTCACTTGATTGATCAGGATGAGTGGTTGAGGGACGTACGAGGCAGACGCAGAGAGGGTCGCTGCTGAGGCAAGGCAATCTGGCTGGGTCGCGAAGGAGACGGGAACCAAGAAGGGGATACGGTTGAGATTGGCGTCCAGACGGACCAAGGGTGGCGCCATTGGCGGCGGCGGCGAGGCTTCTCTCGCACCCTCTCGAGGAAGGCGCGAACGCGACTATCCGGGTAGCTGAAATGAGGTGAGCATACCCTGTTTCAGCGCATATGTGCGGCTGACACCGGACCTTATGCAGCAGGTAATGGTGTCCAATTATCGCCTCGGCGATGCCACTGGCGAAAACCTCGATGGCGAGGAGCGCTCTGCCGTCGAGAATAGTGCAGATGATTTTGAGCTGGAGCGCAGGTCAGTACGATTGCCGGGAGGGTGGGAGCGGGAATGTACCAGGGAGTAAACAGAACAGGAAGAGCGGCAAGGGGAGGAGAAAGCGTGTGGGAGAATACATGCCCTGAGCCATCGCGGGCCGCCATGATGGTGGTGAGACCAAAGCGCGTTGTCCGCGACCGCATAGTAAAGTATGTGGCGGTCAGTTTGTTTCCAAATTCGCGTTCTGCGATACACGCGGCGAAACACGTGGGCGCGTTAGCCGATTCCGCAGCCCCGAGCCCGACCCCGCCGCGTCCTCGCCCAACCTCCTCCCTACCCCTCCCGCTCTGACCACTTTATGGGTATCATCGGAGAGCTACGATTGAGCGCTTTACCGTGCCGCCAACGGGACGGGAGGGAGGGGCGGAGGGAGGGACCAGCAGCCCGGGAGAAGCGGGGAGGGTTCTGGAGGGTTGTAGGGTTAGGAATGCGAGGGCAGAACTTGCGATGGTGTGATGATTAGGAATGCGCCGCAAGGTCCTGCACCCCCTGGAATGGCACCAGGCACGGTCTGCCACCGTGGGAGAAATGCGGAAGCAGCCAATGCGCCCCCGCTCACTTTTGAGCTCAGGGTTCTTCCGCACTTTTTGTAGCCGGTATCGAGTCTTTAGAGTGCGATCAGTATAGAGCAAGTGCTCCCGAGCCCCGCGGGACGCGATTTTCGAGTGTGGAATTGATCCCGAATTGACCGCCATAGTGGTGAAGAACCCGCGATGCGCCGCGCGTGTCTGCAGACGCCAAATCGCTTTCACACACTGGCGCCTCTGCGACGCGTACACGCTTGCATACGCATCCGGCGAAGTCGGCAACTTCGTGGCGCGCCTGGCCACCGCGTTGGCGGCCCGCCAGCCCGGTCCCGTGTGTCGGTCCAGACCGCGTTTGGCCGATGTCATGAACTTCTTTGTCAACGACGACTATCCAGCCTTCTTCACGCCCCTCTCACATTTTCTCGTACAGCTTGAAACAGGCTTTACCGTGACACGTGTCGAACCTGCTCACATTGCTTCCTTCCGCATAGCGATGCCTCCAGTGACGCGCATCCCGGCGAAGGATCGAGGGTGCGATCACACCTGCTGTCGCTACAGCAGCGCGCCACTCCGTATCAGTACCGTTATACAAGGCCTCTTCCTCAACCAATGAACGGCACGGGTCACTCGCCGGCGGTCTTGACGCCACTCATACTCGTACCCGTCATGACATACCCGCAACCCGCGGAGATGTTGAACCTGAATCTAGCATTGTTCCAAGCATCGTAGAAATATTCGCTCTGATTACCAACTCAGTACGTATCACTGTTCCCAAACAGAGTTTACACAACTTAATTCACCTCCAGGATTAACACCTCCGACGTCTCAATCCGTCACTGAGGATATGATAAGAACACACGCTCCTCGGGAAACCGCCTATTGTGCCTAAAGTGAACGATCGTCCTCCCAATGCTAGCGTCTCCCTTCAAGTTTCGGGTCGTACACGATCTGTATCCCATATTATAGCAGAGTACTCTGAAGGTACAGTATCACTAGCTCTTGGCTACTCGCTCGTCGTGGTAACGTTGCCTGTGCATCGTCTATTCCAGCGAAATAATCGGAATTGCTCTAGGTCATCTTCGTGCATTTCGCTTTATGCTTAACTGCTATTGAGTGCGCATATGGCGTGACGTTCAACGCTTCATCATTGTGCGTGACTACTAATAAACGGGAAGTCGGCGCAGAACATCGTATAGAACGCGGTCCGCATATATCAGGGAGGCTTGACTGTTATTCAAGCATCCGCCGTCACTGCGTGAGCAAGGTCAGCGACGTGTGAGGGAAAGTAGGATGATAACTAACAATGATGCTTGTATGCGTAACGGTAAACACTGAGTAAGCGCTCGTGCTTAGGGTCTAAGCCATCGCGCGCGGCGATCAGGGGTTGCGGTTGGACGATGACAGTCCAGTCGCAGAGCCGAACCGACTCCCAGACCGGCAGTCGGTTGGACTCGCTCAGAACTAAGACTGACAAGATTTCCGTAGGACTGACGTCGTGCTTCTGCCACTCGGCGGAATGATCCGCCATGCGGAGAATGTCGTCCTGTGGTCTCACGGGTAAGGTAATCGTGACGGTTGATTCGTCCTTTCACAGGCTTCATTAAACGCGATTGGCGTGACATGCTCGATCGGCGACGTACATTGGTAAAAAGTTGAATCTCCATACGAACAGTAAACGGGTCAAACGACGCTTGCTTAATGCCGTTTGCTCGCCCCAAGTCGGGAATCCGGGAAAAAGGCAGGCGCGCCCTCTCGGCCCTCACGCTCGAGTTCAACCTACTAGATGCACAAGAGCACCGTCGAGTACTAGGGGTCGTTGTTGCGTATCTATGCCGCACAGAGGAAGAAGTCTTGTCGGAGGTAATTGGGCCGTACGTGGCGTCCAAGTATGCGTTATGCTTTGCGCGTCTCTCCTCGTCATACTTCAGGAGGGCCAGAGGAGAGGTACCCAGGCCACGTAGGTAGTGCAGGTCGCTACGGGAAAGCTCATCTGACACGTATATGGAAAGGCTTTCGGGGCCGTACTGCCCAGGTGCAATCTTATGGTCCTCCGTGCACTATAAAAACGTGAATGATGCATCCTTAATGATACGCAGAAGTCTGACGACGTACCCTTGCCAGCCATCTTCCGCGGTCAGGTGTATCATCGGCGAACACATAGACGGGCGGATTGAGAGTGTGATTATTGGCCTGACAGTGTAAAGAGATTCGTTCGAATGTACCCCAATCCGGCGAACCCGAGGCCAGATCGATGCAGTTGAAAAAACGAACAACGCGCTCGCGCTCGGAGAGACACATGAGAGGACGGGGCGGTAGCTCTGAGCGACGGCGACCTAACATCTGTCGCATGCACTTTATAAACCCGGGGTTAGTTGCCTCGAGGCCTCCGGCGGGACGCCATAATGATCGGCGTGGCCAAAGGTCAGTAGAGGTCGGGCAATGCAACGGATCTGAAACCCGCAGCATCGCGAATCGGATATTCTGGCTTCAGACGAACCGATCGTAGCCACTTTATCACACGGCACGTCAGGCTAGGCCGGATAGTAAGTACCATAAAGCAAGGTCACGACGAACACGGTGCTCGGCGACCGATGAACATATATGAAGGCCGCAATCGGGTGATCTATGCCGCTAGAGATGTCTTAGCAAAGCATTTTTGAATGTCTGTGAGCAGGAGTCGTACTGAATGCAACATTGTTATTTATATAGCATGCCTGAGCGGTAGACGCGTTGCGCACTACTAGATCAGTGTCACCTCGCGGTTGTCCGGGATGCACGGCGGAGTCGATGGTGAGGCTGAAAACCTATATTAATCCATGTGCAGAGGCCGACATACTCTCTGATCATGACGGCCGGGAGTGACCGGTGAATCATAGTGCAAAACCGCACGCGTACGCCGTAGAGTTGCACTGTGCGATGAAATGTTCTGCGCTGCTCGACATGTCATCTCCAGCTTCTTCAACAGCAATACAAGAGAAGATTAACTTTGCAGAATATTTAGTTTATCATTTTAGACGGTCGCGAGCACCGAGGCGTTGGTGAACAGGAACAGTCATCTTCATACCCCCCTCAATCCTCAGGTGTAGCCTCTACTACTGCCGATAGACCGTACAAACAAGACATGTCACGGCTAGGACAGACTGCTGCAAAGACAGGTACAGTACGTGGTATGCACATAGCAAGGGAATGCCCAATTCGGGTCAAGCATCCAGGTAACAGTCCCGAGAGCGGTCGTCTCATCATGATCAAGTTCATTGTGACAAAGTCAGAGTCAATGGCGCACGACAGACCGTGGCCGCTCATGTTCGTCAGTTGGACGGATTTACCATCGGCTCAGGAACGCTGGAAAACGCAGCAATGCGGTCATGGAGGCCACATTCGATGGTGCCCAACGGCACAGAACGTATCATCTGCAGAGCGCGCTCCATAACGTAGAAAGAGTGACGAGCTTATGCTTCAGGGAACATTGGGGGAGTCATATACATGCAGAAGACGGCAAATTGGAGCGACGGTACGAGGTATGGTGAATCTAGGTGACCAGGGGTATAAGAGCGAGGCTGGTTGGCGAGGAGGGGGAAGTACAGCGGCTGACCATTCATCAGTCCGAAGGGTCGATGTCGAACTTGGAGGCTGGTGTCCTCCCTCGGCGCCGGAAACGCCATCGGCGGATGCGGGTGGTCAGGACAGACCACCCAGCGGATGGTCGAGTCCTTATCTGGCACTCCTCTTGCGCGCACGAGGTCAAGACGACCTGGTGAGGCGGCAACGGCAACGGCCGTGGCCGAAGGAGGGTGTTATGCGGCGCTCTATGCGCGGAGGCGCTCGTTCGCGCAGCACGGGGCTCGCTCTGATACGGTGCGGGGAACTCCGTATAGGGAGGGGGAGGGTCGTCGTCAGTGGATAAGCGAGTGTGATGGGGGCCCTGTGCCCACTCTGTGGTGGCCTGTATCAGAGAAGACGAGGCGGTTAGAAAATTCGAGCGCTTACCCATGACAGAGAGGAGCGCAATTGATATCGCGAGGGGCGCGATGCAAGCAGGCGTTTATATCGCATACCTCGTGGAGTCGTGCCGGAGTAAGAGACAAGCGAGCGTACGAGCAAGACGCGTCGCCATGTACGAGCCGGAAGCACGGAAGGTGATGAGGGCACGAGCCAGTATGTAACAAGGACGATTGGACCCACGTACTGTGTTGCGAGTGCAGGACGACATCA